AGAGGTGCTAAAGCAGGCTGCTGTCGGGGCGGGCCGAAATATATGACATAATTGCTACTGGGGGGATCCGTGCGGTCGCTGCCCCGCCCCGCCCCGCCCCGCCCGGATCACTTTCCCTGAGCATTCGGTCAGCTGTTGCCAGTGGCCTTGGCCGGTGGGGCACGTCGCTGCCGCCGCGCCACGCCGCGCCACGCCGCGCTGGTGGATCTGGTCCCGCGGGGGGCGGAATGCGGCGGAACCCAGTGAGAAATGCCATGTCGAAACGATACCGAAACGATGCCAAAAAGATAAAAGACAAAGTCAAGAAACATGCAAAATCGGAAAAACGTGAAATTGAGCATTTTCGGACAGGCCCCGACTAAGGGCCATAGCTCGGATCGGGTCCAAAAAATTATTCCGAGGTGCGCTAATGCCTAAGGAAGCCGCCTGCACGCGCGGTTCCGGTCTGACTCAAATAGGTTCCGTAGGGCACAAGAAAAACTAAATGTTGTTTATAAACGACTCTTGTGATAAAGGGTACGAAAATGGCCAAACCCCTAATTTGCATATATTTTTATCGAAAATGGTGTCAATGGGTGTGGCCTGGCTCAAATGTGAGGAATATGAAAAAATATTGTCATATCATCTCGCTTGGGGCCCTCGGTGTAGGAAAAACCGCCTAGGGGGGCCTCTCGCCAAAATGGTTTGGAGCGCGTTTTTGGCGGCCTCTGGACATCCAGTTTGCGTCGCAAAATAATTTTTTTTCATAACATAACGTTCTGTACGTCTCCGGAAGCGTTTTCACGCGTAGATTCCATTTCTGACGACACTTTTCAGAAAAATTGCAACGGTAAGCCTAGAATCAGAAATGCGCCGTTCAAAGATAAATACGGAACCGATGAATTGTTGAAGGAAGAGGTTCGGCTCGTTTGGCACTTCGCTGGTAGTTTTATGTCTGTTGTAGCACTGTGTGGCAAGAAAGAAACACATGAAAAGATAAGTGAATCACATCATAACTACTACAAACTAATACCAAGATCATTGTAGCTGCCTGGTAGGATCGCCTATTGCCTACACTGTAAATTCCAAGGTGTATCAGAAGAGAACGCCAAAGGCGTTTGCTACAAGAAACAGAGCGCCTTAATATTTTTATTAAATATTTTTAATTAATGGACGAACGGGGTGTATGGCACTCTTCCCACCTGACATCCGTCCCGAGTCGCTACGTACTGTATCTCAAACAAACCTCATTCGAGAGTCGCCTCCGAACTTCATTTCAATGCAGCAATGAAGTTCGGAGAGCGTTGCCCTGGAATTTCCAAATTAATTACGAGTATATTATAAGATTAATTTCGAATTAATTTAAAATTAATTACGAATTATTTATGAATTATTTTTGAATTTATTTTAATTTTCCTGAGTTTTCCCGAGCGCTACACAGCTTCATGACCCGTCTCCCGGCCATCAAGCCCGTTGCCACCCGCTGGCCGAGGTGGGCTGGCACGGGGTATCGCCAGCTCCACCGCGCCGGTTGGGTTGCCTACACACCCGGGCTGACAGGAGCCTTGCGCGGGTGCAACGAAAGGTAAGGGAAGGAGAGCGCTGAAAACAGCACACTTAAGTCAAGTGCAGCTTTCAGGTGTATATTCTTCGAGAGGGCAACACACGCAGGCTGACCTTAAATTTAACGGGGGGGGGGGGGG